GCGGTGCCACCTAAATAATACTTTTCTTTTTTCCCATTTTACACCTAATTAATGCCCCATGTGAAACTTTCTAGGGCAGGGTGAGATTTTCTTTCTTGAAAATTAAACCCGTAGATTTTAGTTTCTTCATTGTTAAGCTTATGCATTTGTTGTTAAGCTTACGCATTGTTAAGTTTCCCGTTAGTTGCTAACGTTATGCATTTGTTGTTAAGCTTTTGGTCAATTGTTAAACTTATGCATTAGTTGTTAAGCTTTTTCTTCAGTTGTTAAACTTATGCATTGGTTGTTAAGCTGATGTATTTGTTGTTAAGCTTTCTGTCAGTTATTAAGTTTATGTGTTTGTTGTTACGCTTTTTCGTCAGTTGTTTAGTTTACATATTGGTTGTTAAGCTTATGTGTTTGTTAAGCTTTTTCGTCAACTACTCATTGTAACCATTAGCTATTAAGCATATCTTGTTAGTTGCTAAGTTTATGCTTTTGTTGTTAAGTCCAGCTATCCCCGTATATGTATTTCTCCCCTCAACTACATATTTGGATTCATCTTCAACGAAATCACCAATTAGAAAAAATATCTTTGGAGGTTGGGCGTTTTCAATCATTATATAGAAAAATTAAAGCAATCCCTAGTTTTAAGAGATTTAGAGGGAGAAACAAGGGAATCTTCTTCAAGATGAAGAGAAGAAAAAATGGCCAATTAATTGAGTTAAGGATATGATTTTTTTTTTTTTTTGGGGGGGGGGGGGGAGAAGAAAGAGATGAGAGAGAGAGAGAGGTACGACGTTTAACCAAACCAAGGTCCTAAGCCCAATTGAAATATAAGTATACATTACTGACTTCTGAAACTGTTTAATTATTTTCTTCATGTGTTTTTAACATTTACTGCATTAGATTATAAGTTGGATACCCCCATTTAGTTAATTTATTGTGCGCGTGCACCTTGCATGTGGTTGTCCAATTCTAATAATGCTGAATTCTTGTACACTTCTACATAAAAATATATCAAGATGTACGACGTTTCTTATAGGATAATCATTCAAGGACACGAGTTAACAATGGCACCAGGATGAATTATTGGGGTTTGGTTCTCAGCACTTATAAATACCCCCCTCAGCCTTAGATAAAGTTAGCAACACCGAGGAAGGGTTGAAGATAGCAGGTGAAGGTATGGTAGTTTTTGGCATCTGGGTTTCTCTATTGCTTTGCATGTTTAACACGGGTTCTTTAATTATTGTCATATATCGTTTAATTACGATATGATTTTTGTTTAGGCATAATATCAGAAAAGCCCCCTTAACTTTGAACAATTTTCAGAAAATCCCACTTAACTTTGAACGATTATCAGAAAACCCCAGCATAATTATTGCCCTGTTTCTCTCTTGGGTGCTGCCCGCGAGCCGGCGGCCGCGAGCCAAACAGCATTTTCCATTTTAGTAATATGTGGGGCCCACGTGGAATTAGCAAGAGGCAGGAGACATAGGTTGCGAAGATTAGCTGGGTATGGCATCTTCGAAGTTCAGCTCGGACACTTTTTCCCCTCACTTTTAATAGGTTCCGATGGAGAAAAGATAAGAGAAAAGAAAGTTTTTATTACCTTTTTTTTCTCTAGGGAATCGTATTTTCATTTTCGTTTTTCTTCTCCCTCCAACCAAACTGCAAAAAATTATATTCTTTATCATTTTCATTTCTTTTCCTTAACTTTCATTCAAACCAAATAGACCCTAAAGGATAACACAGTTAGGGGGGGTTTTGTGATAAAACCTTAAAGTTAAAGGGGGTTTTCTTATAACCCTTAAACTTAAGGGGAGTTTTCTAATATTTTAAAAGTTAGGGGGGGTTCTAATAATTATTTAAAGTTAAGGGGGCTTTTCTGATATTAAGCCTTCTTTAGGTGAAGGTTGAGAATAAGTGCAATTTTCATCTTAGTGTATGCACTAATTATAATCATTCAGATATCATCAGATGTCTATCATTAAACCATTAAAGTGTAGTGAGAGAGCTCAAATCCCACGATTATCTTGATTATTGTTAGAGATCTCTTCCACTCATCAAATCGTTGAAGTATAGAGATGAGCTACGATAATGTATCGAGATGAGTTCAGTCAAAATGATTAATCATATTTGAGTCATGAGTCCAAGCTTACTTAACTATGTATCATCTAACTCTATTTGCAATGATTAATCATATTTTCCTTTAATCGTCTGGTCGTTTCCATTTTAAGATTATTCGTACAATTATCTAGTGCAGGGACTGAGAAAATGCAGGCCAACGCGATCACATCCATAGAGATCAACCTTAGCTATGATCTGACTATTAGAATTCCTCACCAACTTAGATTATTCTAGAACAACTTTCTAGAACTTCTTTCTAGTAACATCCTACAAAATATCTACCATGAAGTTTCTAGGAAGATACAAGTGTATGGCTAGTATTTATTCTTCTAGAAACTTCTTAGTAATGTATGGCTAGGATTAACTCTTCTACACACTTCCTAGCCCTCTTAAACAACTATAAATAGGGGTCTTGTGCTCTCATTTAAGTAAGCAAGCAAGCAAGCAAGAAGTGAGCTTGAGAGCTTGAGTGTGTAGTGTAGCCTTGTGTGAGTGTCCACCAAAATAAAGGAATTGTGTGAAAGTGAGGTGTACTTGTAAGAACAAGTGTTGTATTCTCAAGTGTTCTATCAATAAAAGTTTCCTTTGTGTAGAGTGTTGTGTTCTTCAAATTCCATCAAAGTGGTATCAGAGCAAAGTTCGATCTAGCCGGGCCAATCGAAGGTGCTCGTGTACGAGATGGCGAACATGATCCAGCCACAGATTCCGAAGCTGATGAAGACCAATTACGACAACTGGAGTATCCAGATGAAAGTCTTGCTCGGCTCGCAAGACTTGTGGGATCTCGTAGAGAATGGCTACACTGAACCGGAGTCACCTGCAGCAGAAGCAACTCTCACCGCCACTCAGAAGAGTGAGTTGAAGGAGGTCAGAAAAAGAGACAAAAAAGCTTTGTTCCTAATATTCCAAGGCGTAGATGAATCTGCGTTTGAGAAGATTTCCAATGCCCTGTCCTCTAAAGAAGCATGGGAGATTTTACAAAAATCCTATCAAGGTGCGGAAAGAGCCAAAAAGGTACGCCTCCAAGCATTAAGAGTTGAATTTGAAAATTTGAAGATGAAAGCTACAGAATCAATATCGGATTATTTTAGTAGAGTTCAGACAATAACAAATCAAATGAAGAGAAATGGAGAAGCAATTAATGATGTAAGAATTATGGAGAAGATACTTAGGACTTTAGACTCTAAATTCAAATATATTATTCCGGCAATACAAGAGTCTAAAGATCTTTCCGAAGTATCTATTGATGAGCTGCAAGGTTCTCTGCAAGCTTATGAACAAGATATAAACATTAGTTCAAATCAAGCGGAGAATCTAGAACAAGCCTTGCAGAGTAAGATGACTATCAAAGAAGATAGTCGAAGAGGACGTGGAGGCTACAGAGGCAGAGGCTCATTTCGAGGTGGCTCAAACTTCCAGCAAGGTCGTAGGAGACAGTACCAAGGAGGCCATGAAAATCAAGATCGAAATAGAGATCGTGAACGATCATTCGATCGAGGACGAGGTCGTGGCACACGAGGACGATGTGCGTGTCAAGCAATATGGCTCAGGAGTCTGATGAAGGAATTGCAACACCAACAAGAAGCACCGACAGAGATTCTCATCGACAACAAGTCAGCTATTGCACTTGCCAAAAATCCGGTAGCACATGGACGAAGCAAACACATAGAGACAAGATATCATTTCATCCGACATCAAGTTAAAAAGAAGACTGTGATGCTGTCATATTGCAAGTCTGAAGACCAAATCGCTGACATCTTCACCAAGCCACTAAAGACAGAGACATTTTTGAAGCTTAAGAAGAAGCTTGGACTTGAGAGAAATGAAAGTTGGTGATGAGGGGGAGTATTAGAATTCCTCACCAACTTAGATTATTCTAGAACAACTTTCTAGAACTTCTTTCTAGTAACATCCTACAAAATATCTACCATGAAGTTTCTAGGAAGATACAAGTGTATGGCTAGTATTTATTCTTCTAGAAACTTCTTAGTAATGTATGGCTAGGATTAACTCTTCTACACACTTCCTAGCCCTCTTAAACAACTATAAATAGGGGTCTTGTGCTCTCATTTAAGTAAGCAAGCAAGCAAGCAAGAAGTGAGCTTGAGAGCTTGAGTGTGTAGTGTAGCCTTGTGTGAGTGTCCACCAAAATAAAGGAATTGTGTGAAAGTGAGGTGTTCTTGTAAGAACAAGTGTTGTATTCTCAAGTGTTCTATCAATAAAAGTTTCCTTTGTGTAGAGTGTTGTGTTCTTCAAATTCCATCACTGACAGCGGCAAACTACGTGAGCAAGATCGAGAAGATGCGTCAGGACTTAGCAGAGACTTGGACACGCAATCGTCCTGTACTCCCCACTGTACTCGACGAAAAGGATCCTGATTTTGAGAAGAAGCTCACTTGGTACGACATTGTACTGGTTTTCAATAATGGGAAGAGTAGGGTCAGGCTGAGGATCCGACGCGACCAGCTCTACTTTCAGGGCTTTCGCGTGAACGACGCCGGTAAATGGTTCGAGCTCGGGATTGAGGGAACAGATAAGCACCTCATCGATAAAGAATCAACACTTCTTGGTTTCGGGCATAACTACACTGCCCTGTTACGCGCAGCTGGCTTCGACGCAACAGGAGGTCTTACTGAAGTCACCCTTGGGCGTGAGAAGCTCATAAGCGCAGCACAATGGCTTGAAAACCCACCAACCGTCAAGAAAAGAGCCGAAGCGCTGCTCATTGTGATTGTTATGTTCTGTGAGTCTACGAGGTTTGTTCCGATTAGTAGCTATCTGAGGAGGACATGGCAGCAAAGCCTGAAAGCCCCCGAATGGCTCGAGAAACTAGTCCATCGGTGGGGAGAGCTCTCTGGATGTGTTTTGTTCTATGATGCTAATCCTACCCAAAAATGGGTTCCTCAGGAACTTGTGGTTGAGGGACCAGCACCGGATTTTAAACCAGTAAAGGTTGTGGCTCGAACCGTCGATGAACTGCTGGGATATCTTGGCATTCTGCAGAGGGATCCGAGTACTATCGTTCCTCCTAAGCCATAGGATGTGGCTGAGTGATATCCTGTGGACTTTAATAATAATGCTATATATGGAATAAATGTGAGCCTGCTAAGGTTTCCATGGGTTCGGAGTGATGTTGTGCTCCGGTGAAGTCTAAAGTCTTTTTTCTGAGCTACTGTAATGGGCAACTAGTCTTTTGAATGTATATATTTTGTCTCTAAGTATATTGAGTAAACATTGTGTATGAATATATAACATTGGGTATTTAGCAAAGTATGAGAATATTTTGATTTCATTGTGAGATGTTTAGTACTTTGTGTGAGATGTGTATATAAACATGTAGATAAATAAAGAAGCCGAAATTTTAAAACTATCAAAATAAATAGCCCAAACGGTTTTAACCGTTTGGGCGAAAAATTGCCCAAACGGTTTCAGCCGTTGGGCTAACTTTTGGCCAAACGGTTACATCCGTTTGGCCAAATTTTAGCCCAAACGGTTACAACCGTTTGGGCTAATATTTGGCCCAATAACCGTTTGGGCCAGATTCCTCGGGGGCTGCAATTCATGTATCGCCTTCACCTTATCAGGATCGATATGTATACCCTTAGTGGTGACGACGAACCCAAGAAATTTTCCGCTGGACATTCCAAGAAATGATTTAGTGGGGTTCATCTTCAACTGATGACTCCTCATGAGATCGAACATTGTCTTCAAATCCTTGATGTGATCTTCCTTGTTGCGGCTTTTCACAACCAAATCATCAACGTAGCATTCGACTGTTTTCCTGAGATGTTCTTGGAAAATCTTAGTCATCGCTCGCTGGTATGTGGCACCGGCATTCTTCAGACCGAAAGGCATCACCGTATAGCAGAAGACGCCGAGGGGTGTTCTAAACGCCGTATGCTTCTCATCCTCTGGATGCATCTTGATCTGGTTATATCCCGAAAATCCATCCATGAAGGACATCCTCTCGAATCCACATGTATTGTCGATAATGACATCCGTGATTGGGAGAGGGAAATCGTCTTTCGGACATGCTTCATTCAGGTTCCTGAAGTCGATGCAAATCCTGATTTTGCCATTCTTCTTCATGACGGGAACGATGTTGGCTAACCAGTCTGGATGTTGTTCCTCTCGGATAAATCCTGATTCGATCAACTTCTTAACCTCTGCCTCAATGGCTTCCATAATCTGCGGACGAAACCGTCTTTGCTGTTGCTTGACAGGTTTGGCATCCGGCTTGATATCGAGGCGGTGCATTGCCACATTGGGGTCGAGCCCTGGCATATCTTCATAGTTCCATGCGAAAACGTCAATATATTTCCTGATGAGTGCAATTAATTCTTCCTTCTCATTTGGGGGAAGACTATCGCTGATGAATATAGGCTTTGGGTTGGCCTCGTCACCCATGTTAACTTGGACTATTTTATCTTCAGTGGGGGGTTCTCTCTGTTTGAACCTATCACCATACTGCATGTTCAGGTGATGAACCCACGGGTCTTCCCATGTTGGCATTTGATCGTCGTCTTCCATCATGGACGGATCAGCTGTAACCATGTTCGCCATTAGGGCTTTGAAAGCTTCCCCGTTTTAAGATTATTCGTACAATTATCTAGTGCAGGGAGTGAGAAAATGGAGGCCAGCGAGATCAAATCCATAGAGATCAGCCTTAGCTATGATCTGACGGCGGGAAACTACGTGAGCAGTATCGAGAAGATGCGTCAGGAGAACGCAGCGACTTGGTGTCGCAATCGTCCTGTACTCCCCACTGTAGTCGACGAAAAGGTTACTGATTGGGTGAAGAAGCTCACTTGGTACGACATTGTACTGGTTTTCAATAATGGGAAGAGTAGGGTCAGGCTGAGGATCCGACGCGACCAGCTCTACTTTCAGGGCTTTCGCGTGAACGACGCCGGTAAATGGTTCGAGCTCGGGATTGAGGGAACAGATAAGCACCTCATCGATAAAGAATCAACACTTCTTGGTTTCGGGCATAACTACACTGCCCTGTTACGCGCAGCTGGCTTCGACGCAACAGGAGGTCTTACTGAAGTCACCCTTGGGCGTGAGAAGCTCATAAGCGCAGCACAATGGCTTGAAAACCCACCAACTTATTTCATTATTGGCAAGTTGCCAGTTACAACTGCCCTCTGACGATTGTTCATCGTCAAGGTTGATTAGCAAGGGTACAATGTCGTTTAAAACATAACCTCCATTATAATCAAATCCAGCTTCGGCATCAGCTTCTTCTCCGCTATCCGTGCCATGGGCCGATGATTCAGTATCGGATTCGTTACCATAAATGAGACTCGAGAAACTAGTCCATCGGTGGGGAGAGCTCTCTGGATGTGTTTTGTTCTATGATGCTAATCCTACCCAAAAATGGGTTCCTCAGGAACTTGTGGTTGAGGGACCAGCACCGGATTTTAAACCAGTAAAGGTTGTGGCTCGAACCGTCGATGAACTGCTGGGATATCTTGGCATTCTGCAGAGGGATCCGAGTACTATCGTTCCTCCTAAGCCATAGGATGTGGCTGAGTGATATCCTGTGGACTTTAATAATAATGCTATATATGGAATAAATGTGAGCCTGCTAAGGTTTCCATGGGTTCGGAGTAATGTTGTGCTCCGGTGAAGTCTGAAATCATTTTCTGAGCTACTGTAATGTGGGCAACTAGTCCTGATTATGTCCAAGATTATTGTAAGACGAGTTGTCCTTTCTTATCTTTTGCATGAATGAATAAAGTTATGCTTGCAAGTCTTTGATCTGTTTGCTGTGTTTTTCCTTTCCATAGACCGTGACTTATTTTGAGAACTTACTTATTTTGAGAACTTACCTTCAAAATTTCTGCTCTCAAGGGTCTATCTGCAGCTAAAACTAGTCTCCACTCTTTCTATTACCACTTTGCCAGCAAAACGCACCGTACACAGCTTTTTATCTAGAATACACAATTTATCGTTATTAAAATTATTATTTTTTGTCTAATGTACTCATGCTTCATAATCTGATCGTCAATCCTTCAAATTTATTGCTTCTCAACTTCTTTCTGCAAGGAATTTTCTAGGAGCAAATAACAAGGGTGCTGTTAATTTCTACAGGAATGATGTAAAACATTCTGTCGTATAAACACTGCATGTGATGGAAAATCTTGTTCCGTAGAAGCCGATGTAAATGTTGTTGGTTTCAGGGTGTAGACCCAAACCTGGAATGAAATCAAGAAGCTGAAAAATTCCCGATCAGTCGACCGAAGGGAGAGGATCAGTCGACCAATGCAACTGTAGAAAGCAAGGCTGGAAACATTCGCTCTGGTTGATCGACTGATAGCCTCGTATCAGTCGACCGATAACGTGCATGAGCAATCCTGAGAAAAAACACCTTCTGGTCAGTCGACTGACGCCAAGCTATCAGTCGACCGAAAGCGATTTATTTGGTTTTCTGGTTCAATTTGGAATCCATTTTGACTTAGGTTTATATATATATCCTTACACGGTTTTGTGAGGGGATAATATACGAACAAGAGAGGGTTTTGAGAGCACTTTGAGATCAGAGATCTTAGAGAGAGTGTAACATATTGCAAGCTTTGTAATCTTCTTCAATAATCAAGAAATTTCTGGTGTAGCGCCCAATGACGTAGGCACATTTGTCGAACCTCGTTAAATCTAGTGTTCTCTCTTTTATTTATTCTTTCCTGCAAGTTTTTTTATTCGTTGTGATTTCTTGCTTGCTAATTGTTCGTCACAAGATCCGGAGGGCACGGGTTGTCAATTGTTCAACCCCGACAACTGGTATTAGAGCTTCGTTCGGCAAGTGTGAGAGATATGGAAGAAGAAAGCAAATCGAAGATTGAGAAGTTTGGTGAATCAGACTTCACCTACTGGAAGTTGCAGATGGAGGACTATCTGTACCAGAAGAATTTTTATCGTTCGTTGTTGGGAAAAGCTAAGGGAAAGAAGAAGGATGAGACCGACGAGGACTGGGAAATACAGAATCGGAAGGCTCTAGGCCAGATCCGGTTGTCGCTCGCAAAATTAGTCACCCACAACATATTGAAGGAGAAGACGACAAGATGTACGAGCAACCGTCAGCTACAAACAAGGTTCATCTCGTCAAGACACTCTTTAACCTCAAGATGGCAGAAGGATACTCCTTCACGTTGCATCTCAGCGAGTTCAATACGATTGTTGATCAACTCAACTTCGTCGACATCGCGTTTGATAATGAAGTGCAAGCCCTACTGATACTATCGCAATTACTGGATAGTTGGGCAGGTTGCGTGACCGCAATTATCAACTCGGCAGGAAAGGAGAAGTTGAAGCTGAGCGAGGTTGTCAGTATGATTCTATCCGAGGAGGTTAGAAGGAAGTTATCTGAATCAGAAGGTTCAGGTTCAGCCTTAAATTTCGAGCAGAGAGGCCAAAGTCAGAACAAGGGTAACTAAACCAGGAAGCGATCGAAGTCGAAGAAGAAGAGGTCGAACTCGAAGGTGAGGCCTATCAAAGAGAAGTGTTGGAACTGCGGCCAGGAGGGCCACATGTTTTCAGTCTGCAAAGCGCCAAAGAATGATGCAAATGAGTAGGAGGCTCATATTATGCAAGATACATTGATCCTTGCTATAGACAGTGACACTGATTCATGGGTTATTGATTCGGGAGCCTCGTTCCACGTCACTACTAATAGGAAGCTTTTTTCAAAACTATATAGCAGTGGACTTTGGGAAAGTGTACTTGGGGGGACAACGAATCTTGTAGTATTGTGGGAAGAGGCGATGTGCAGATTCAGATAAAGGGCTCTAAGTGGAATCTGAAGAACGTCAGACACGTACCGAAACTTAAGAGGAATCTTATTTCGATGGGCCAGCTTGGAGCAGAAGGCTACGTTTCGATATTTACTAGGATTCGTGGAAGATCTTTAACGGTACTATGGTGGTTGCTCGCGATAACAAAACTGGAACTCTCTACTTAACTTCACATCCGAGTGACAAACCTCACAATTGTAGCTGGTAAGAAAAGTACAGATCTGTGGAACAATAGGTTGGGACACACGAGTGAGAAGGATATGAAGATTCTACGCTCTCAGGGAAAGCTATCCAACATCGATTCAGTGGAAGTTGGTATTTATGAAGATTGCATCTATGGGAAGCAGAAGAGGGTCGGCTTTCAGAAGAGTGGAAGACCATCCAAAGCTCACAAGCTAGAGCTTGTTCATACAGACATATGGGGTCCAGCTAGCATGTATTCTCTTAACGGTTCGGCGTACTATGTCACATTTATCAACGATCATTCGAGGAAGGTGTCGGTATACTTCATGAAGCACAAGTCGGAGGTGTTTGGGATCTTCAAGAAGTGGAAAGCAATAATAGAGAACGAGACAGATCTAAAGGTGAAGTGTCTGAGATCGGACAATGGTGGAGAATACGAGCTGGAGGAGTACAAGAAGTTCTGTGCTCTGAATAGGACTCTCTTACAGAGGACTACTCCAGGAACACCACAACATAACGATATTACAGAGAGAATGAATAAAACATTGATAGAGCGTGCGAGGAGCATACATCTACATGCAGATCTACCTAAGACGTTTTGGCCGGACGCGGTGCATACAGTAACTTGATAAATCATGAGTCTTCAGTTCTATTAGATTTTGGGATTCCAGAAGAGGTTTGGAGTAGCAAGTTAATCTCTCACACTTGAGGGTCTTTGGTTGTGTGGCATATGTTTATATCAGTGACCATGTCAGGGACAAGCTAGAAGCTAAGTCACAGAAGTGTACATTTATTGGATACGATATTGATGAATTCGGATATCGTCTGTGGGATGATAAGAATAGGAAAATCATCAGGAGTAGAGATGTCATATTTAATGAAGAGGTGATGTATAAGGACAGGGATAATGTCAAGGATAGACAAAGCAGTGGAAGCAGCACTAAGGATACAGGTGGATCCGAGTACATGGATTTAGAAGAACTTCCAGATGGTGGAGACAATGTCAGTTCTGACCAAAGAATGAAGGAGACTCCAGGTTCAGAGACAGGTACCCAGGGCGAGGAGTTTAGGAGGTCATCCAGAGTACCTAAACCAAATCACAGATATCTTTCGTCGCTAGATTACTTGCTTTTGACAGATAGTGGAGAACCAGAGTGTTATGAGGAGGCAATGCAAGTTAGTGAATCTCAACAGTGGGAGCGTGTAATGCAAGAAGAGATGAATTCTCTCCACTCGAATGAGACATGGGAGTTAGCTCAGCTACCTGCGCAGAGGAAAGCCTTACATAACAAGTGGGTCTACCGGGTTAAGCAGGAGAATGATGGAAGTAAAAGAAACAAGGTCAGATTAGTTGTGAAAGGGTTCCAACAAAGTGAAGGAGTGGATTATATAGAAATATCGTCCACAACTAAGGCAGAGTATGTCGCAGTAACTGAAGCTAGCAAGGAGATAATTTGGTTGACCGGATGTCTGGAAAAGTTGGGTCTGAAGCAGAGGAACGAAGTTCTTTATTGTGATAGCCAGAGTGCTATACACCTTACCAAGAATCCAGTATATCTTGTCAGAACGAAGCACATCGACATGTGTTACCATTTCATACGCTCGCTGATAGAGGACGGGAAGTTACTATTCGACAAAATTTTGAAGAGCCAAAATCCTGCAGATATGTTGACGAAGGCAGTGACCATCGAGAAACTAAAACTGTGTGCAACTTTAGTTGGCCTTCACGCGTAGGAGATGAGGGCGGAGCCACACTAGGAGGACAGGTGAGATCACAGAGAATGATGTTGATTGAAGAATGAAATTTTTCGGGGAGGAGAAGATGCTTGCGACGATGGCTGAAGTTCGGGAGAGCTTGTTGATGGAGGTTTGATCTCCAAGTGTGAGATTGTTGGTTTCGGGAGTGTAAACTCAAACCTGGAACGAAATCAAGATTGAAAAATCCCCGATCAGTCGACCGAAGGGAGAGGATCAGTTGACCGATGCGACTGTAGAAAACAAGGCTGTAGACATTCGCTCTGGTCGGTCGAATGATAGCCTCGTATCAGTCAAGCGATAACGTGCACGAGCAGTCCTGAGAAAAAACACATTCTGATCAGTCGACTGACGCCAAGCTATCAGCCGACCGAAAGCGGATTTTTGGTTTCCTGGTTTGGTTTGGAGATAACACGAAAAAGAGAGGGTTTTGAGAGCACTTTGAGATCAGAGATTTTAGAGAGAGTGGCATATTGCAAGCTTTGTAATCTTCTTAAATAATCAAGAAATTTCTGGTGTAGCTCCCAAGGACGTAGGCACGTTTGTCGAACCTCGTTAAATCTGGTGTTTTTTATTTGTTATTTCCTGCAAGTTTTTCGATTTGTTGTGATTTCTTGTTTGCTAATTATTCGTCACAAAATCCGAAGGACACGAATTGTCGATTGTTCAACTCCCAACAAATGTTTTGTTGTACCAATGATCAGTGTATTCATTCCCATACAAGATGTAAACATTAAAGTGGCTTTGCATATTATAATATCTTGGTTCATGTTATCTATCACTTGTACCGTGAAATTATCTGTGAAATTAGGGTTTTATGTTGAAAAGTCATGTGACATTTAGAGGAGATTGAGCATACTTACCATGACTTATTTTTGTTGCTTTCCTCATCTTTCTTTGCATCTTTTGCATCTCCTCTCATCTGATTATTCTCCGGTTTCATCTTCATTAAAGCAGAACCACAACAAAGAAAATAACTTTCTTTAAAGAAAATTAACGGCAAATTAATATGGGGTTGCAATAGCTCGAGCTCCTTCATCTCCGTTTTTCCTTGTCGAGAGATGAAGAAGATGGTGCCTTGAACTGATTTCTTGAAAGATTCTTTAATTTAGAAATCTGTACGAGAGTGAGGAAGAGAGAAAAGAGAGAATTTTGTAGCTAGTTAAATCTGATGACAAAAATAAAACAACTTTTTGGGTGATGAAAATATTATTTATTAATGTTATAAAAATGTTTCGAGGAACATAAGACCCATGCAGATACAGTACAGTTCAGATATATTATTTATCTTATTTATCCATGCAAAAGAACGCGTTCACGCCAAGGTTCCGTCACTCAATGGCTAAAAATTGGCTCCTGCCATTTTAAAACAATGCAGGGCTAAACTGCTCATGTGATAAATACAAAGTATATCTTGCCTTCATGTGATAAATACAAAATATCTCTTGCCCGCCACATGGATGGATGGATATTAATCAGGGGAGGATTCAAGTCCTTTGGGTCCCAAATATGAGCACCAAGACCTAAATTTAGAACAAACTTGTCAATATTCAGCTTAGCTCTCGCTTTCAAAAACCATGAGTACTTAAAATGCGTGCAAGGATAAAGATGGGTAGATTTTAGTTTTACCTGTCAAAGCTCAATCTACAACACTATTTTCCAAATTTACGTCATGGCTGTGACGAGAATTATTCACTTTTATTACCCAATTCCACTTTTGAGGGATTGCCAATCTTGGGAGTAGCAGCAGAAACACCATGCTCGATGCACTGAAAGTTGAAAGAATTCACATATTAATAATGCTTTGAAGATTTCATCAAATCTATCACTGATTCACGACGACTAAGCCAGATGACATACTATCAAATCTATAAAATATGAACTATAAAGGATATTGGTATATTACCCTCAAATGTTAGAAATAATCAAACACACTGCTCTTTAAGTGTATGATGGGTAACGCTAGTGCATATGAGAGTATACTTCTATGCATGTATATCCGCATGTAAATGCAAGTGTGAGCAGGGACATGAATAACAATCTATATAGATATACGTCCTCAATTTGTAAGTAGCAGAAGACAACTAGGAGAAGGTAACTAATAACTAACATGGTACCAGAGCAAAGATATCAGATCATGCAATTGACTGACCACAAGTGAGCACAACTATAAGGACAGTTTTTTTTAATAGTGAGGGTACTATTTTAAAATAGTTCGGACCCACCATTTAAATTCGTGTTTGTTTGTTTTTTTTTTTTTTTTTGGATTGGACTATTTGAAAAGAAGGATTGATTTAAATGCAAGTGTGAGCAGGGACATGAATAATAATCTATATAGATATACGTCCTCAATTTGTAAGTAGCAGAAGACAACTAGGAGAATGTAACTAATAACTAACATGGTACCAGAGCAAAGATATTAGATCATGCAATTGACTGACCACAAGTGAGCACAACTATAAGGACACGTTTTTTTTTAATAGTGAGGGTACTATTTTAAAATAGTTCAGACCCACCATTTTAATTCGTGCTTGTTTTTTTATTCGGATTGGGCTATTTGAAAAGACGGATTGATTAATACCCAAAAAGGAGACTAAACTAAACCCACCCACCAACCCCCCCTACAATCTGGGTATTAATCATTTAGGGGAATTAAGATTTTATGACTTAATTTTCTAGATTTTCCTATGATTTTATTAAATCAGTCATTTATTTATTTTTCCAGCTTCATTCTCTATGAAATCTTTCTGCCACTTTTTCTTTCACAAAATTTTCCTGCGCACTTCCGTGATGTTTCTTTGTCCACTGCCTCTATGAATTAGTTAGATGTGTACAAGCTTGCACCTGTTGGCCTACACTACACATCTCATATGCTGCTTATTTGCCCTACACACACAGACACACACACGCGCACACACACGTATATGTATGTATATATGTATGCAAGTTACATGTTAAAAGAAGAACTAACATAGATTCTGGCTTGGGTTATACAAAAAATAAATAAATAAATAAACATCTATTGTTAAGATTATATTTGGAGTTTCAATTTCTATGCAGATATGCAAGAAATATATTAGTCGTCTTGAGGATAAAAATGTCTATTTTAGACAAGCTCTCAACTTCGAATTGTTTGTCAAAACATACGGATTAATACCATATTATTGACTTCAGTGTGAAATGTCATTTGGTTATGCCATAGTTCAAACAATTATAGGAGCATTAAAAACAAACACTAGTTTAGACTATTTTAAGCTAGTCTGACTGTTAGTCCGCATGAAAACAAACATTGGATTAGACTAAAATAGTCCTAGGATAACCTAGTCCAAGGACTATAGTCCGGAGAACAAATACCCACTAGTCGCGGAATAAAAAACAAACGTAGCCTAATTCTCAAACTTCATAAAATAAAGTCAGCCCCCAGAGGATGCAACTTCAGATTTTAGTGCTACAGTATGGCCACAAGTGGGGAAAAATGCAAAAGAAAAATTAAAAAAATATATGGATACTAGTTGGAGCAAATCTTAGGTATACATCATACCTGAAGAAGATAACCGTGGAGCCAATCCAATGTTTGAGGAAATGTCGTTGCAGAAATGTTCACTATTGTCAACCCCTGAATAGCATTTCCATAGATATATTACACTAGAAATGTCATCATGCTTTAGTATATAGTTTTTAAGATAATATATTATCATAGTAACAAGAGAAAAGCTCAATCCTGTTGAAGATTATGGACACCTAGTAACATATTGTGCAATTCATCTAAAGATGTCTTTGTTGCCAAAAAGGTTAAGGGAAAGTACAGTAGGTTATATATTCGCTTATTCTGCTAAAAGAAATTTAGGGAAAAAGTAAATTAGATGAGAAAGAAACTAGAAAAAACTCTTCCCAACTCCTGCAAGACCGTGCATAAATGCCACTTCCCAATTCCGACTAGATATGACTTCAAATCTCTTGTGAAACAAGTAATAAAGTTTAATAATCAGATGAGATATTGATGCAGATTGCTCACTACATAAACATTGCTCATTACATAAACACTTTCACCAAAAAAATTAATTAAACATCATTTCCCACTATGTAAGTGTTTCACTTAGTACAAACAAGAGTTGAAAAGATACAAGCTCACCTGTGCCTCAAAGGAACAAAGGTAATCTTGAATGGTTTTAAGGTTACTTATCAGCTTATCTTGATCCTGTCAAAAACAAAAAGGGTGACTTAACAAAATTTTGAATTTCCGTAGATTTTAGAAGGAATGGGAAGAAAAATATTGGAATGAATTTCTCAAAGACAAATGCTAGAAGAAGATTTTTCAAAGAACTTAGAAGTTTTATTAGGGCTTAGCCACCCATTTCAGCCATCAGAAAGGAGAAGAACATTTATAAATTATTGTTCTAATTAAGGAATAAACTTAGCCAGTCATTTCAGCCATTCCATTTCCTATCCTTGAAAAACTTAAAGAGACACATTGCAAGCTGATGACCCGAAGAATAGGTAATGCATACAGAGAACATAGCTAGTTATGAAAAGCTACAAACTTTAAAGACAGGTTGCAAGAAATGTCTTAAACTGATAAATTTATCTCCCAAAAAGAAGTAAAATGTAATACCCAAAAGAATAGTCCCACATTGGAAAGTGATGGGGAGTTTGAAGTGTTTATAATGTAATCCAAAGACCTCAAGAGTAACAAGTGCTAGCACTTTTTGGTAGTGGATTTAGTCAAAAAAAGAGTTGCTCTCAATGGGTCCCACGGCTTACACCGCGCCAATGGCTCGCAGGCCGGGGCGTGACAGAAAAAAACATCAATTATTAAGTTCACCTAACTTATCAGGTGATACGGTGCTGGATATTTCTCTAAGAAAACTGAACTTACAATGTCCAAGTAAGATTTACTGGCAAACAAGCATGCGCTAAGTGGATTCTTTTACATCAATACAGATCCCAGAAAAATGAGGAAGAAAACAATGATGGCGAAGTCATTTGGCGTAAGGTAAGACTTTTCACGGTATACACATATCAAATAAGAAAGCAGAAAGCATAATATAATTATGCTATACACATCAAATAAGGAACATAATATAATTATGCTCAAGCAAAGACATCAGAGATGGAGTAATCAAATATCCAGAAACCTGACAACCTACGCACATGAAGGGGCTCAACTATATGTCTGTGTGTGTATGGATGTACGTACGTATATATAATGTATATGTGTATGCATATATATGTGTATGTAAATGTATATGTATATGTGTATGTACATGCACATGTATATGTATATGTGTGTGTGTGTCCGTTAAGAAGGGCAACAAGTTCTAGTTTACACAACTTATTTCATGATGTTGACATACATAAAAATATATAGCATAGGTTTAAATGACTGTACTAGTTCTAGACTTCTCTTTAAGACCCATACTACATATTTTTTGTAAGCCTCTTTGTTTTTCTTTCATAATTACAACTGTATCTTATTTCCCTTATTATGTGAAAAGCAAGGTTATCGATAGCGGATAGCGTCGCGTAGCGGTAAGGCACCGCTAAGGCTATTTCGGGCTATTGCGGCAAAATAGCGGTAAAAAACGCAAAGTCAAATAGCGGTCTAATTTAGATATGTATAAATACTAAAAAAAAATTTAAAGAAAAACTAAAATCTAAAAGTATATATTGGATGATTTAAAGAGATCCTAAACATGAAATAGAAATGTAATCATCACGTACTAACGAAGATGACTGGAGGAGTCAAAAAGTCGTCGTCTTCGAGAAGAAAAGCTTAGCGGTGATAGAACTGCCCTAAGAGGAGCTCACGGTAAAGGAGGTGAGAGGAAGTATCAAGGTAGGTGCCAGAGGCTATAAAAGGTGGCGGGAGTATACTGAAAATCACAGGAGACGGTGGAATGCAATGGTCAAGGGTTGAGTTTAATTTTTAAAAAATAAGCCTCAAACCGCTTTTAAATAGCAGTCAAAAGCAAATTTTGAATACAATCGCTCACTATTTACGGTTATGACACACTATTGGCCGCTTTTGCGAACATACATATTCCGCAATATATGTCACCGCTATTGCGCGATAACGTAGCGAGCAATAGCTTCACGGGAAGAGACCGCTAACACTATTATTATCGCTATTGCAGGGCTATTTACCGCTATTTATAACCTATGTAGCACGGACACGGATCCGACACGGCCATCCGACACGCCGACACGAGGCAAATCCTAAAAAATACATAGGATACGTGTGTTCGACGCGTTTGTCCGACACGGACACGACACGACACGGCTTCATGTTATGCGTGTCCGTGCTTCATAGTTTATAACAGTGGTGAAAAGTCTCCAAGCCATAGGACGTGCGTGCAAGTGTTGTATTGTGATTATGGGTCTGACAAGATTGAATTTTGTAAAATGGAATGTCATGCTATCATTTGCTCATGTATTTACCATTGAGAGAAGGTATTTACTCTCCCACAATTGATACTATTGATTCCAAAACACACACAGGAAAATTTAGGCATGTAAACTAGGTTTGGCCAGAATAAAGTTCGCCTCGGAGGACCAATAGTCAGATCTAGTTATACAATAAGAGTGCCAGCCTTCATATGGCAATGCTGTTTGTTAGTTGCTCGGGCAAAATAAAGTAAGGGTGACGAGGATTCATAGATCCAAAGGACTGAGAGGCTGTGAAGCCAACATTTAGGCTACAAGAATATACCTTTACTCTTAAACATTATCAATGAGACCAACATGTGTGTCATTAAGCTATTGAAATATGAATAATAAATGTTTAGTGCAGGAATCTCTAGGGTTAATACAATATGTTGAAGTATGGAGCAAACATGTAAGAATGAAGACGGGGATTTACCCATTCACTCCATTCAGTTATTTTATACGGATACGTTGGTTTGCAACATGCAAACAACCAAACATTAGCTGCCGGTATTTTTGCATGACCAAAACAAATTTGGAGCTAGTTTCAGTCACCTTTAAAACATAATCAGAAATGGATACCACTGCCAGAGAGAAATTTAGTGCATTGACTGACACAATGGATGAATACCATTGAACATACGCCTTAGATTTCCCAAAACTGGAAAACTCAATCCATACATGTTATAGCACGTGAGACACAAAACTCAAGATTGGTTGGCCCTAAACCCTTTCACACGATAAACCATTAAAAGGAAATCACGTGAGACACAAAACTCAAGATTGGTTGGCCCTAAACCCTTTCACACGATAAACCATTAAAAGGAAATGTAACTATTTAAGATCAGATATTTAAATTTTACTCAGGATTCAAACATTTTATATGTAAAACAATCGGAGTCCCATCCTACGCTTTTAATGGGGATTTCACCATTGACAAACTCTTGAAGACTAATAAATTATATACACTCTTTTATTTTTGTCAAATCCTAGAATTGAAGATTCAATAGAGATTTCACCATTGACAAACTCTTGAAGACTAATAGATTATACACTCTTTTATTTTGTCATCCTAGAATTGAAGATTTAATACAATATTAGAACCAAAGGCATTATTCTTTGGAATCTCCATCTCGATATTTTGAATAAGAATTTCAAGCATCTCAACTGATAAGGGAAGCATAGTTTCAAATCTTTGAGACTTCATAAAATGAAAATAAGGTGATAACTTTCTATCTGTTCTCTCCGGGTCTCAATAAAAAGATGAATAAAAAGATGAAAGCAGGATGCAACACATTATTTCTCAGCTATAGATAAAAGTGTGCCCATGACAGAAGAGGAATTGTAAAATGTAAGTACTGACCAAATGCAAAAGGCAAAACGCATTGGGATGAAGAATGAGAAGTTTTAAAACATCCTGATGCTCTTTGGCAATTAAGATCGTGTTTACCTCTATTAAAAACTTTGAAATGACATAACACAGGAATCAGTTTCCATCAGCAACCAATCTTATAATGCTTATTCAAAGTACCTGTGCTAGGCATTTATCTCCAAATGTTCTAGTGGAGATCCATTCTTCCAATAATGCCTGCATCAGAAAATGGTTAAACATGATCAAAATTGATATACACGATGCACAACGTTAAAAATGGACTCATAACTAAGACTTACACAATTAAAAGTTAAACCATGCATGAGTACTGATCCTATCATCTTCAGAAGTGTTTATCCTAGTTTGAAAACAAGGACCAAGGAAACCAATAAGAACTGGTGGCTGAGGGACAGGTCAGACAGAATAGAGAAGTATTTTTAAGTGTTATATAAATGAATGTGACCCATAGCAAATCCATCATCCTTCCCCTTCTTCTGTGCTTCAACTATGAATAGCACAGTTTTCAAAATGAAGCAAGGTCCACAAAAATGAATTGCTCCAACACGAGTTTTGTGAACTACAGGTGTGAAGAGGATTGATATCTTAAAATTTTCAAATTTCAGTGGAAGCAGAAATTTATCTCGAAAATTATGTGGAATTTCATGTTAGTTAGCAGGCTATTTTGAGCATCTTCGCAAGCTGCCATCACAAATATAAGAAAGACTGAAATTGGTGGATGAGATGATGATTATGAGTAAGGATATAACTCGGAATTTTAAATCAAGAAACTAAATAAAAAGAATAATCAAAGACAAAATAAAATAAAGCAGACCTTGTGATCAAACTCGGCCATCTTCAAAACAATAGGTATAACTATCGGTTCTGAAGCAGCGTTCGACTTCGTCACAGGGTTGGTCTTTTGCAGATCTGAATCTTTCTGGCCTTCTCCTGGAATTCACACATAGTATTACTAAGGAAAAATGCATTGAAGTGCATGATATGCATATTACAAGGATTGGTATCATTTGGAAAAATAACTTGGGGAAAATTCAAACTGAAAAAAAAATTAGAACACAAACTCGATGTTTTAATCTCGCAAACTCCTTTTTAGAAAATGCTTCAGGATGAACAGAAGGTACAACTAGCTCCATGTTAAGTCAGACAGTTTATAAGAATGTAGAGAAGAAATATACAAGATGGCATAGGACAACCTTGACCCTCTGAAATATTTCCTGAAAGATCAATATGTCCTGGGGACTTTGCATCCTCCAAAATTTGCAGATCAGAGGTCCCACCCTTAACTCCTTTGACTTCGTGGCAGCACTTTTTAGTTTCATCTTGAGTACTTTCAGAATACAACCTCTCACTTCCAGAAGAATTTTCAAATTTCTCTTCAGCTTGTGAAGGATCAACCTCTAAGTTCCCCGAGGTTGCTATGCCATTTTCGCTTTGTGCATCACTTCTCTCTCTATTCTCTTCATCCATTAAATAGATGCTTGGATCCAAGTGAATTCCCTGATATATGCATATATCAGATTTTGTGAGTATTTTGCAACAATGAAATTTTAAATAGAACTAACAAACAAGAAAGATTTATCACGATCTAAATATTACTCAATGCATGTAAAAAGGTGAGCATGCTCTTATGTTATTAGATATCTCTGCATAAAGGGTAAATCGTAGGAGTTATATTAATGTTGCCACTTCATATAAGAAAATGATGTATTTCTCTGGGGAATATAATCAAAATATGGTATAAAATATTTTTAAATATTACCGCATCATGCAAAAATTTAATTTGTTAAACATGCCTATAATTAATACGTAAGAAAAGAGTTCAGAAGCCAACAATTAAATTTAGAAAGTGTTACTGAAAATTGTTTATAAAAATACATAATACAAGAGGACATATGGCATTGCACACAATATAGCAAGAATGCTAGACAATTAAGAAACAACAATGCAAAAGAGTGAGTATAGCAAAAGTGATAATGTTAAGATGAATGTGTAGATATATATTGCAAGGCAGGATAAGATATGTGCATAATTTGTAGGAACTAGAGACAAAGGGAGAGAGAGCTGCAAGACTGCAACGAAGACTAAAAATTGCATCAATTAGGAGAAGCAATAAGATTATTATTAGTGGAGCGAGGACGAGCTATATACATAAGAGAACTTGGTTGGAAGCACATGATAGTGATTAACATACTAGAAGAGATAGCTACAAGACTGAATGGAAGAATGATTCATGTAGCTGAGCCAAAATTTTTGGATAAAAGCTTTGTTGTTGTTGTTTTATGTAATATATAACCATGTAGTATCTTGTACAATCTATAATACACTTAAAAAGGTCCAACTGAAAATGTCAAATAGATTAAATACTGTAGAAATTGAGTGATTGAAGGAATTTTCTTTTTTACATCAAGCACAGAAGTTATGAAGGTTATATTTGGAAAATCCCTCCAATTTTGTTTGAGATGAGAGTCCCCTCCAATCTGTATATATGTTCCTTGAGAATCATTACAATGCACTTATTTTGTTTGGATATCACATTAACTCCTCTAAATGGCCTTTTTTTTTTTTTGAGAATGTAGCTCTACAACAAAGAGAGATACTTTACATTAGAGAAAAAGAGGTCCTAAGCTCCATTTTATAACCCAAGAATTGGGCAACTTTTTGGATTATTAACCTTGATTATAGTAACGGTCATATTTTAACGGATCTTTCAACAAGATGCGGTAAACAATCAACAATACTTTCTAATGCTAAAAGGCATGCAACATGGTAACGTAATTTATGAACTTATCCAAAATATAACCCTAAGATAAAACATCAGTAACTAACAAATTTTCATGCTTAAATTATTACAATTGCACTGTACTTAAAGTGGTACAAAATGAATAAGACAACTCATAAAGTCCTTAATTATGAAGTGATTAGTACATAACCATCTTTAAATAGTAATTTAAGACAAATTCTGGAACACCTGCTAGTGGTGTACCACTTTGCGGAAAAAACACAAACATAGAATATCTTTGAAAACGTCATTCAGGACAGGCACTAAATCTTGAGTAACCTTAAAAGAGGAAAAAAAAAAGAAAAATAAAGGATTGAAATAAAAGAAATAGAAATGACAATTGTTTTGTAAAACGCAAAGCACTCCACTAAAAGTAGACAAAGTTAGCAAACTTTATTTTTCAAAACCTTCATACAGAGCATTTGTCAGTCAACAGATAATAGTAATACAGTCAAATATCTACAAACATTCCATCACATAAGTTGGCTGCAAGCAAAAAGTCGAACAACAGTCCAAAAAAGTGACTTACTTAATATATACGGATGTCAGCCATCATTTTTCATTATGAAAAATGCTGGCATAGGTAGGTTTGAGGTAATGATAAAATAAAATGAAAGCTACTGGAAAGAAAAAAGACAACAACGTAAGAATCCATGCACTAAGGTATGATGAAAACAACATTTCAATAGCATGCATGCTGCGCTACTCTTTGTCGTTAATGGTGTAATATATTATGGTGAGTAGTTATCTAACAGGAATTGCTGTATGATGAAGCAACCAAGAAACAACATAATCAATTTACCATGTAATGGTAGAAAAACATGTTAGCATGAGTTACACATAAAAGAGGTTATCATAATATTTTATTAGATGACTTCTATATGATAGGAAAACATGTTAGCATGAGTTACACATATAAGAGTTTATCATAATATTTTATTAGATGACTTCTCCTTCAGCTAGAGGGTACTCTTCTTGGATTTGGGGTTTCTACAAAGCAATAGATCCTCAATAAACACTTCATCCATATGCAAAGTTTGTAATTTGAGCTTTGTTCTACTGAGAATATCAAGTTTACCTCATGATACGAACATAATCTAAATTCTACATTGATAACTAAGAAGACATAAAGTTAGCTAATATTAGAAACTAAAAAGACTTGGAAAGAAACAGTCATTAAGAGAGGAAAACAAAAAGTGAGAACCAACTAATGAGGAAAACTTATTGATGTTATATCTGTGATAATATCCATGACGAGAAGAGTTAAAAATAAGAATTGCAAAGTCACAGCCCTGACGTTGTTCTATTAATGGTGGTGACTAAGAAAAGGAAGTAGAGGATTTTACAATTCAATTCATTTCTCTTTTTCCATTTTCCATCATTATCCAGTTGTTTGGTTATGAATTTAGGATTTACATCTTATTCTACTGATAAATGGCAATATTGCTGCATATAACCTACTTAGATTAGCACCATTGTGAAATTAAGGGGGAAAAACAACAATAGCAAACCACAACAAGAAGGTAGTAAATTGGGTTGCCCCTTCATGGTATTTGGGGAATATACAGATTCTGTAAGCAAGCAAACCATTATGATTCATTACTAGCTCTTCTAGAAATAAATAAAACTAACCTCAATTATGATAGGCTTCCCATCTTTCATTGCTTTCTTTAGGTCACCAGCCAAGCCTAGTACAATTGGAATTTAATATGATAGGCTTCCCATCTTTCATTGCTTTCTTTAGGTCACCAGCCAAGCCTAGTACAATTGGAATTTAATGTTTAGAAAAGTACAAACACATGGCTTTGACCTAGAAAATACTTGTAACAAATCTTCGAACATTTTGTGCCCCAAGAATCAACTTAAACATCTTGGCTTGATTACAGTAACAAATACAGACTATTATTACCATATACAAAGTGAACTCTATATGGAAAAACAAAATCCACTAGTTACCTTTCCGAACTATTCTGCATTCTCTGCAGAACTCTGTGATGAGTTCTTCGGATGAATTAAAATCTCGTGCCCAAACAGGAGTAGATGCTAAAGGAGCACTGTTCATACCACAATGATATAATAAGTTTATGGTTCTAGAAGAATATATGCAAGATTGCCGAATTGCCTAATGGAAGAAACTAGTTTGTGATCTGTAAGGAACTAAATAATTATGAAAGGGAATGTATAATATCATTGAACTGCGGATACTAAACAGAATATGGCAACAGTGGAATTAAGCCAAAAGAAGGTGCTAGATGTAGCTAAAATCATGAGAATCTAAATAGTCAAGATGGTTAGCAAATACTCACAAGGAAAACTAGAATGAGCTCCAGGTGGGGGAAAATATTGCAATGAATTATGATGTTGTCACCAAAATCTTTCTCGTAACTCCCACAATGAGACCAAGTGAGACAATTTCCAAAAGTCTACCCAAGCAAAATTAGTACAAGTAGATAGGAAAAAGGCAGCGGTCGCAAACTTCCGTTAAGCCTAGTGAGAGTTCTTTTTTTTTCTTTTTTTTTCTTTTTTTTTATTGTAGCTTATTTAGGAAAAAGGCAACGGTTACTCACGAGTCTATCTCTTGGTAGCTTATCTAGTGAAATGAACCCCCCACCCCACCCCCAAAAAAACCCAAAAACATACATTTTTTAGTGTGTTTATAGAGAACTTTTTTTTAGGTTCGTTCTCAAGCTATGATTCATCTAAACTTTATGGTGAGTAATCATATAGATGATGTGCTACATTCATTTTGATTCACACCCCTAAAAAATAATAAATTAGTGATTTGAAAACTCTTCCCGTTTATGGTTTTGACATGAGTCTTATTTAGCCATAAAAAATGATATCAATTGGTATAGTAAAACACGTTTCGAATCACTTGACTTATCATCTTTAGACAGTTTAAGCATTTATAAATCTAGAAAAACAAAGAGGTTGTTGACTAAATGGCCCACTGTAAAGTTCTTGCAAACATTTGCTTGAGAATTGGTTTCAAAGTATGTATACATGCATGTATTACGTTTATATAGGAAAGGGATCTAATGTAAATGACTCAAGCACATATCTACATGGTGTGCGGGGTGGGCAGCTGCACCCCTAAATTTTTTATTTTTATCATTTTACCCCATACAAGATTTTAGTTTGTCCCCCACCCTTAAAATCAAGTAATTTTCACTCCCCCCCCACCCCCGCGCGAACCCCCATACTCTATCCAACAATCCAATAACCCATTGGATTTAATTCATTTGTAACTTAACAGGCCCAAGCCCAAAACTAACTCAAACCCCGAGGTCTCTGGTCGTGTCTTCTTCCTTCTCTCTCATTCGATTGGTCACTGTCACTTCTCCCGTGCTGCCGATTGCCGCCTCTGGCCCTCCAACAAGAGGACTCATTCAGTCCTTTTCTAAGTTCTCTTCTCCTTCATAACTTTTTCACTAGGTGAGTGATTGTCACTTTCTTTTCTTTTATTTACTTTTTATTTTTGTTTGGTTGATGAATGATGAATAAATGATGCTTTGGTTTGATTATCCATAAAAATAAAAAATGCACTTGCAACACTATGATGTTGATTATCTCTCTTTGACCTACAATTTATTTGTTATGTATATGCCAAAAGTGAATTAGAAAAACTTAATTGATTTTGAATTTTGTTTAGTTGTGTTTCTTGATTTATAATTCATTATTCCCTAAGATTAGGCTTCATTAGTTCATTTGACAATGTACTTCATTTTTAGACTTTTGAGTCATATAAAATTAGTCATTGAGTAAATAGAATTGTACTTTGATGTTGACTATCTTGCTAAATTTTTACAGTTATGGATAAATTCGTCAAGAGAGTCCCCAGTGGAGCGAGAACAACAATCAACTACTCCAAATTTACACAACCTTGAGAATTTACAACCTAGTATAAAGCAAGACAACGGAGTAAAAATGAAAGATCCTCTAGCCGATCCAGGGCTTCGACCAAGTATTTTAATGTTTTATCGAAATAATTAAAATGATATTTAAAGAGCTTATTTGCAAAAATTATCAACTGCTCCAACATAAATTTCCCCAAAAAAAAGGAAACGGTTTGCAGCATTCCAATCCTAATTGGCTCCCTGAATTTGGAAATTGGCTTGAGTCTAGCATATCAAAAGTTGTCGCATTTTGCTTGTGTTGCTGTCTTATGAAGCCTAATCTTGGAAAGTAAGGTGGTGATAGTTTTACCATCAATGGGTATTCAAATTGGAAGAGTTTAGTAAAGTATGTTAGTTGTCCAAATAGTTCACATAATGAAGTTTGACTAAATGTCAAGCATAAATGAAGCAAAAGCAACACATTGACGTTGCTATTTCCAAACAATAAGATCAAGCCAAAGAAGATTATCATATTCACTTGACGACAACAATAGAGGACAAATTTTCAAAACCAACCTTTTTCAGTTTTTATTTGTAAAAACCGACCGCTTTTGAAAATAATTACAAAAACCGACCTGTTTTCAGCCCAGCGCTGAAAACAGGTCGGTTTTTGTAAAAAGTTTTCCGAAACATCACGGGAGTTCAACTCCCGTGAAGTTTATCGAAAAATTAAACTTCAAGGGAGTTGAACTCCCGTGAAGTTTAATTTCTCCTTAAAACTCCACGGGAGTTCAACTCCCGTGGAATTTGCGCTCAATTTCAAAACTCTTAATGCTGTGACCTGAGCTTGAGGGAACCAAGGTTATATTTGAGGCCTCTAAATAAAAAATAAAAAATAAAATAAAAAAGGAGCTCCTTTCACCCCCAACTAACCGCCATCAACGAAAAGGCCCAGATTTCTCTCGATGCCAAAATCTCTTTTTCACCGCATTAAAATCAGTTTATGCAAGTAGGAGACAACTCAACTCAACTGAGCATGCAGGGAGCTCACCAAGAAGATCTGCGAGGAGACAAGAACGAAGAATAGGGTTCTTGACGGCGTAGCTGGGACCGCGGATCGTGTTGTGAGAACTCCTCAGCACTTTTTTGAGTTGGGGTTTTGTGATTTGGGGGTGAAAGGAGCGTGGCGTGAGGGGATGAGGATTGGGATTGAGGGGTACCCCCATTAAAGACCTTGAAGAATTGGGGAAAATTGGCATGTAACTCCACGGGAGTTGAACTCCTGTGGAGTTTTGAAGAATTTAATCTTCACGGGAGTTGAACTCCCGTGAAGTTTAAAAATATGGTAAACTTCACGGGAGTTGAACTCCCGTGAAGTCTCGTAAATTTTTTTACAGAAACCGATCTGGTTTCAGCGTCAGGACTGAAACTAGGTCGGTTTCTGCAAATAAGTGCAAAATAGGTCGTTTTTTGCAATTAAATCTCTAAAGGGGTTGGTTTTGAAAATTTGTCCCAACAATAGACCATAATCGATTTATCTTCTATCAAGGTTTGGTTTTTCAAGGCCATCATGAATCTGAGCACTCAAGTTCTAACAATCAAGGAAACTTTCTTAAGCTTATACATTTTGCTTCTAATCAAAATGTTGCTTTTAGTAATGTTTTGAAAAGAGCTCATGGAAATCTCAAACTAACATCGCCTAGCGTTCAAAAGGATATTGTCAGTGCAACTATCAATGAAACTACTTAATTATTATTAATGATCTTGGTTGCGATTTGTTTGCTATTTTAATTGATGAATTTCGTGATATATCAATAAAAAGCAAATGGTTGTTATGTTGCATTATGTGGATAAGGAAGGAGATGTCATTGAACGTTTCCTTAGGCATATTCATGTTTCCTCAATTGCAGCATTATCCCTCAAGACAGCGATTGAGCCTTTGCTTTCAAAACATGGACTAAGTTTATTAGGGGTGAGCACAAAACGGTGCAAACCGAATAAACCGACCGAATTTTGGTGGTTCGGTTCGGTTCGGTTTTAAATTTAGTTTGGTTTAATGCGGTTTATAAAAAAATATTCAGTTCGAAACCAAACCAATCGAAATCCTTTAGCATAGTTGTATAGGTTACTAAGGCGTAAACTAGCATTTGAACTCACAGTCACATGGGCTTAATGTAATAGGTAACTCACTAATTCTAATCAAGCTAGATATCTATTTCCGCTCATAATCCAATATGCAACCAACTTATTAGTTAATTAACTAACTAATAGAGTATATCTAAATAACTAACGAATAGAGTATATCTAAAAGACTAAAACAAACCCTACAACTTACAAGTCTTCAACTCCCATCTCTTTCTTTTCCAATGCGGCATGTCTCTTGCTCCCAATCACATACGTGACTTCCTTCATCTTTACAACTTTGCTCCTCCAGTGGCCTCTAATTTCCTTTGTTATCGTCGAGCTACCTAGTTGACATCTATCTTCAACTTAGGCTTCACCGTTCGTGGAGGTATATAACACAAACTCCTAATTTTTTATTTTCTAAGTTTACTTAAATATTTAGTTTTTCATTCACAGAGATGTAATCTTCTTTAGATCTGGCCTTTTTTTAATATTTTCTCTGTCAATTTTAATTTTTATAAATAGTTGTGTGCTTGATATTCTAAGCTACGTTGGTTTTAATTTAATTGTTGCATTTAATTTATAGGTTTCACTAAAGAATACTAATGCTAAAGCTGCTCAAAGCGATGCTAATGTCTCTTCTCGAAAGATCCAATCTAAAAGGAAACAGATAAAAAAGATTGAATGTGTGGGATCATTTCACTAGATTTAAGGATGAAAACGGCATCTTAAAAGCAAAATGTAAATACTATGAAAAAGAGTATTTTGCTGATGGGAAGAAAAATGGTATTACATCACTAAACAATCATATGGATACTTGTAAGAAGCACCCACACAATGCTGACACATGACAAAAATTGTTAAGCTTACAGGACTTTGGATCTCAAAGGAAAGGTAGTGAGAAGTTGGGGACTCTTGTTAACTAGATTCATGATGGAGCTATAAGAAAAGCTCCTAGTTACTTTAGAATCATTGATGAACTCTCATTTAAATTGGTAGAGGGTTTAGGATTTTAGTATTTCATGTCTACTGCATGCCCTAGATTTCACATTCTATCTCGTTAGACGATTCAAACGAATTGCTATGAGATTTATCTTGAGGAGAAAAAGAATTTAAAAAACTTGTCAAAAGCAACATGCCAGAAGGTTTGTCTTACTACTGACACATAGACTTTCATTTAAAATATTATTACATGTGTCTCACTGCACACTAGATAGATAGTGATTGGAAACTGAACAAAAAATTATAAATTTTTGCCCTATTTCTAGTCACAAGGGAGAGGACCTAGGACGAGCAGTAGAAAAGTGCTTAATTAATTGGGACATTGAGAATGTTTTCACTGTCACAGTTGACAATGCTAGCTCAAATGATACAACGATTACATACTTGAAGAAAAGGCTTAACAACTAGGGAGGCACAATGTTACAGGGAAGTATCTTCACATGCGACGCATTACTTATATTATAAATCTTGTAGTTAATGATGGACTTAAAGAGTTAGCACTTAGGAGACTCAGTTGCTTGTGTTTGTTCAACCGTTAGATATGCAAGGCAATCACCATCGATACTATCTAAATTTAAACATTGTATTGAACTAGAAAATCCTGAATTTAGTACATCTTTATGCGTTGATGTGTGTACCAAATGGAATTCCACGTTTTTCATGTTACACACAGTGTTTTCAATGCGCGAGGTGCAATGCAGGGCGCAAAGTCAGTTTACGCGTACATGTGCAAGGCGCAATGCGATGCGCGCGCCCGAGCGAAACGAGGCGCACTCTAGACCACAAAATTTTTGAAGATATACAACTATACAAGATGCATGAAAAAAATAAATATTTGTGAAATTTCACATAGAAAATGTCAAGGACTCAAGATAAAATATATACTACCGGATCACAAGATAAAGATTTAATCATTAAAGCAAATCAAGATGTCCATCAAAACAAAAAAACTAAGCAACTAGAACACTTCCAAAGTTCACTAACATCAAAGCAAAACAAGCAATCTAATTAAACAAAGCAAATAAGTAGCAAAATAATAGCATAATGATTCTAATCATCCTCATTAACATCATCATCATCCCCTTCTAAGGGTATATCCTCATCTTCAGTCTCCTCCTCATCATTAAACTCCTCTTCATCTTCTGACTCAGAAACTGGCTCCCTCCTCCTCGACGAAGAACCAATACCACTCGAAGACCCTCGAAACCTATTAGTCGATCTTAGATACATAGAATCATCTTCTTCAGCTCCAATCGCATCTCCTATGACACCATATGTAAGGTTGTCCTCGCCCTCAACCAAGTCATTCTCTGCATTCTCACCTTCACCGAACTGCCCTAACAACCATTCATTGCTTTCATCTATATCAGCCAACTTAATCGGATCAATAGAATCTCTGCAGTCATATCTCTCCTTCAAAGCTTAGTTGTACTTGCAGTAAACTAGATCTTGCAGCCTCTTATGATCCAATTTATTCCTTTTCTTGGTGTGTATCTGTAATTTATACAAATCAATCAAATCAATATCCATATCTCTAAGGGGATTAAATCTATTTTGTTCAATAAAATAAAACTAATCATATTTGCTCAAAAGTACTCCAATTTCTTTCACAGCCGGAGGAGCTACAAGTAAGGCTGAGGACTCTAACAGCAAGCTTCTGCAACTCTGGTGCTGATGCACCATAAGACTCCCACCAATCAACTGTCAATTTAAATAGACTGTGATTAGTAGTGTATTTCTTATAAAAAAATCTAGTCAATTGAGAGTTTATATTATGCATATTTACCTGGAGACTTCTTCTTTCTATTTCTCTTAGCTATCTCCATACCAAAAAGACCCCCAGCATGCCTGTATATATCCAACTGCCTATCAACCTTGTCTTGGTCTTGTGTGGGCACCATCTTCTCAATGACTTGATAAAGACCTCTCATAACTTCGTCATCCCCTTGGATGTTTGGATGGTCATAGAAAAATGCAGGATTGAGGTAATATCTTGCAGCATGCAAAGGCCGATGAAGATGATCCTGCCACCTCTTATCAATGATATCAAATACCTCAGAATATTTTGAAAGATCATCACCAAAGGCTTTAGCAATAGTCTCCTTAGCTCTATACATCGCCTCATAAATGTATCCCATAGCAGGCTTTTTGTCACCATCAACAAGTTTCAGAACACCAACAAGAGGAGTCGTCAGCTTGAGAATACGAACAATGTTGTTCCAGAAAGATGGCATATGAACTATCCTTTCAGCTGATTTGCCCTTTGAATCTCTTGCCCACTTACTTTGCCTCCATGTCTCCAAATTAAACATCTTTCTGAGGTTATTTTTCTGTCGATGGATGCTTGACAAAATCATAAATGATGTGGCAAATCGTGTCACCGTCGGTCTAAGAAGCTCTATGCCGTTAGTTTGACCTCTCATCAGCTTCAAAACCCACGCATGTGAGTAGATGAATCCAGTCAACTCCATAGCTCGACTCAAGGTTAGCTTCACTGATGGTAGTTTACCAATATCCTTGAGCATGAGATTAATACAATGAGCAGCACAATGAGTCCAATATAAATGAGGATACTCTTTTTCCAATTCCGCTCCTATAAATAAAAGAATAAAAAAAGATCAATATCAAAGCATCCTAACATAACATTAGCAAAGGATTCATAACCAAAATAAAATTTTGCCTGCATATTTGAGACTAGAATAGTTATCCGTGATGATCTGAACAACATTCTGAGGTCCTATGAGCTTAATCTGCTCACTAAGTATCTCAAACATTCTGTCACCCGTCTTGATCTCATCAGACGCATCAATAGATGAAAGAAACACCGTACCACGAGGAGAGTTCACAAGAAAATTGATCAATGTTCTCCCCTTTCTGTCACTCCAACCATCTGACATAAAAAAATAACCTTTGGTAGCCCACACCTCTTTATGAGGTTGTATCAGATCATCAGTGTATTTTTTCTCCTTCCTAAGCAAAGGCTCTCTCAAATGGTGTAATGTCGGAGGAGGCAAGTTAGGCCCAAAAGCCCCCACGGACTTTAACATGATTTTGAAAGATCTAAGACGAGCGGCATTAAAGGGAATGCCGGCTTGATACCACCACCGAGCTATGTCTTGATGCACTTTAGCCACTGCATCTTTGTTGAGGCTTTCTTCAATACACGATTGTCTCAACTTGCGCCTTCTTTCATCCTTGGCGACCTCAAGAGCGGGATCGAATGTAAGAAATGCATCCATCGGCCCCTTCCTCTTTGGGCCCGTGGAAGATCCCGCACTGTGCATGCCAACACTCCCTCTTCCTCTTGCCGTTACTGAAGATGACCTAGGAACCGCCGAGCCTTTTCCTCTCTCTCTATGTTCTTGTACTTGTTCATCTTCATCCTCCTCATCATCAATTTCCACCATGTTCTCATCTCCAAGTTTGGGGAGATATTCATCTATAGCTTGTTGTCTTTTAGCCATCTTTTGTCTTTCTTCATAATCTTTTAGCTCTTTGTTGTCTTTTAGCCATCTTTTGTCTTTCTTCATAATCTTTTAGCTCTTCAACCACATCGGGAGGGACTTTTTGACAAAGACTCACATTTTTGCGTTTTCTATCCGTCCCGATTAGATGCTCTTTTTGTCAGGATATGCCGCTATTTGTGATCTTGTTACAAAATATGCACTTATGTTTATTGGCATTCCCTTCATCAACTAATGAAGTATATTTCCATGTAGGATCTTGTCTTCTTCCACCACTCGCCGATGAAGACATATCTACACCAAAACACATATATACATTAAATTCATATTGCAATATTACATCACTATTCACTAGTTTTTTTTTTTTTTGACATAACGCATCACTAGTATTTTGAGATATACAAGATGAATGAAAAATTATTCAAACTTTCATACTAATATATTATATTCCATGACACTAACAACTATATTGCTAAATTTTGTTTTCCTTCTTTACAGGTTATAAATGGCGAATCAAGTTTTAACTTTCAAGTCAACTTGTAGCACTACAACTAGCTCAAATAGCAAGAATCAATACTCGCAGTCTCGCACAAGAAATCAAATAGTAGCACATTTTCAACAATTTTGACTGATATGTATTATGTTATGTAATATGTATTAATAAGAAGCAAATAGTACTAGCAATGTTCATAATTTCATGAATCTGCAATCTGCACATTTCAACAGTCATACATATGCACATTTAATTTAAGATAAGATAAATCTCCCCATAAATCTCTTTGTAAAATTGAAAATCATTAGCCTATAATTAATCAAGTGATCAAACATTAAGTAATCATAGCTTATTATTAATCAAAATAGTCCACAAATCACTTTAATAATTACCTAATATCAATTAAAAATCAGTTTACTTGCTTACTATCTCAATCATTAACAGTCAACTGAGAAGAAAAAAAAGAAAAAAAAGAAAAAAAAAGACAGAGAACAGATGAAAAACACAGCAAAAAAGAGAAAATAAAAATTGAAAAAAGTGAAAAACAGAGAAAGGGAAACAAAAACAGAGAAAGTGAACAGCAGCAGCAGCAAAAAAATAAAAAAAAAGACCGACGTTTCTCGTCGTGAGATGAAAGTTGAAAATAAATGAAAGAAAAGAAAAGAAAAGATGAAAGAAGAGAAAGGGAACAGATGAAAAACAAAAAAAAAGTGAAAAAAGAGAAAGGGAAGCAAAAATAAATGAAAACTTACCTTTGTTCGCCGAGCTCGCGGGTTCTCGTCGTCACCGAAATCGGCTTTTCCTGTTCGTCGCGGGTTCTCGTCGTCACCGAGCTCGCCGTCCCCTGTTCGTCGCCGGTTCTCGTCGTCACCGAGCTCCTCGTTCCCTGTTCGTCGCCACCGAACACGAAGAGAGACAACGAAGTGAAGAACCCTAGCTTAGATCTGTTTTGCCTTTTTTGGGTTTAAGTTTGAGTCGGGTTTCTACCCGTTTCTACCTGATATCCGCATTACATGAGGCCATTCGCCTTGAATTTCTGAGGCGATCGCCTTCCCAGAGGCGGTGAGGCGCTCGAAGGCGCACTCGGACGCGCGCTTGGGGCAAGTGAAGCGCCCCGCACCCCATGCGGGACGCTATTCCACCGCGCCGCACCGCCTTGCGCCCGAGGCGCGCGCCCGACACCGCCTTTGAAATCACTGGTTACACATTGCCCAAAAGTATGAAAAAGCTTTTGAGAGGTATGGTGATGAAGATCCTTTCTTTAGATATGAACTAAATTGTGGGCATGGAAATCATGGAATGTCGATGGAGGATGGTTGGGCTAATGTAAGAAGGTTGTGCAGTTTACTTGATGAATTTCACAAACTAACATTATGTGTATCTAGTTCTTATGTGTCCAGTAATTTCTTTCTTCAGGAGGTTGGTAATGTTGCTTGTAATTTAAACAACTGAAAATCTAGTGAAGATTTATCTTATGTCACAATTGCCAATAGAATGCAAGAGAAATACGATAAATATTGGGGAAGCTGGGAGAAGATGAACATGCTAATTTATATCGCAGCTCTTCTTGATCCTTGAAACAAGGAAGACTTTGTGACCTTTATGATTGAGCTTACATATGGTGAGCATGAAAGCAACGAGAATATCAAATTTATCAAAGATGTAGCATCTGCGTTGTATAATGAGTACAAAGATAAATATGGCGCTCAAATAGGTGCAAGTGGGCAATCAAGTTGTGTTTCTTTAAATAATATTGATAATGATAATGCAAAATCAGGTAACAGATGTAAGAAGTTGGTTTAAGAGATTGCCAGCTGCAAAGGAAGGTACATAAACTAAATCAAAGTTAGAAAGACTTCTAAGCGAAAGACGTTGAAGCTGATGAAAGAATTTTTGATATTCTAGCTTATTGGAAAGTAAATAGTACAAGGTTTCCAATCCTCTCTCGAATGTTTCGTGATGTATTAGATGTTCTTATCTCTACGGTGGCATGTGAGTCCGCCATTTAGTAATGATGGTCGAGTCCTCGACCCATTTAGGAGCTCATCGACCCCGAGAATGATGCTCCGCGCATTGGCTTCGAAATATTATGACTGTACCTAGATCAAACAAGATTCGTGTTGAAGAAGACTTGGATGCTCTTGAGAAGTTGGATATAGGTAAACTATATTTTCTAGATATATCTAAAGTAGCTTCATGTTTTTATTAATTTGCTATGTTTTATTTGTATTTCAGATTTGAGTAAGATAGCCATTGAGTCAACAATAACCGATATGTAATGGAGAATCATTGAAGAATATTGCAAAGGTAACAATTATTGTTTTATAATATATGAAGAATTGATTTAACATGCCATTACTATTGCAGATTCAGCTAGTTGAAAAGGCAGAGTAGTTGTTGATAGTGATGGTATGTGGATCTCTTAGAGCCGAAGAAATTATTAAGTTTGCGTTTTTAGTTGCTTGTTAGATACTTTACAAGGAATTTAGAGAGATATTCTTATTAAGTGGCTATTGTTTGATAGTATTTTATTCTCTGTTAAGGTGCTGCTATATAGGTACTTGATAATCACATTACTTTAATTGTCTCATATTATCCATACGTTTTTCTTATTTTTTTAATGGGCTCAGTGAGATGTAGTTGCAGTATTTTTGACGTTTTGTACGACTATAGGTAGAAGTTTTTTAGGGTCCAAAGTTCATTACATATCTAACTAATTAAATCCAAAACTGACAAACCGAACCGAACCGCACTGAACCAACTTTGATCGGTTCGGTTTGATTTTGAATCATAATCAGTTTGGTCTCAATTTGGCAAAATTTTGTCAAAACCGAACCGATTGACTGTTTGCTCACCCCTAAAGTTTATCATAGGTCAATGGTCAAGGTTATGATGCTAGCAGCATGCAAGGAGAATTTAATGGTCTCAAAACATTGATCATAAAGGAAAATGAGTGTGATTTCTATATTCGTTGCTTTGCGCATGCAAATCAACTTCAACTAGCACTTGTGAGCATCACAAAGCAACAAACTGAGATTGCTACAATGCTTAATAATATGGCTAATGTGGTTAGAGGTTTATGCAAGTGTGGAGATATTCTTCGAGAAAAGCAAATTAGCAAGACCTTACAAGGATTAAAAAGTGGTGAACTTTTAAGTGGAAGAGGTTTAAATCAAGAAACATCTCTTCACCAAGAAAGAAACATCTCTTCACCGAGCTAGAGATACTCATTGGGGGTCGCATTATGGGATGTTAGTTAGCTTGATCTTTATGTTCTCATCCATCATTGAGGTGCTTGATACTATTTTCAAAGATGGCACAATCTCAGAGCAAAAGGGACAAGCAAGTGCTTTGTTATACTTCATGCAATCTTTTGAGTTTACTCAACATACACATAATGAAAAATATATTAGGAGTTACACACGAGCTATGTTTAAGCCCTACAATGCAAAGATCAAGATATCAACAATGTTATTACTTTAGTTAAAGTAGTCAAGCAACAACTACAAATGATGAGATATGACATGCAGGAATCTTTGTCAAGTGAAGTTCTTTTTATTTTGTGAAAAACATGATATTCATATCCCAAACATGAATGATATGTTTGTACTTTGTAGACAACCAGGTCATGATATTGAGAAAGAGAAATTTACGCCATTTGCGTGTTGAAGTTTTCCATCAAGTGATAGACAAGTAACTTCAATAGCTTAACAATTGCTTTATGAAGGCTAACACTGAGTTACATACTTGTATTGCTAGCTTGAATCTATGGAGTTATTTTCTGTTTTGATAAGCAAAGTTTGATTCACTTTGTTGGGTTTTATCTATCAGAGTTTCATCTAGTAAATCTTATAATTCTTGATAATCAACTTGAGAATTATATCCTTGATGTACGTTTGGAATACTTAATTCTCAAATCTAAAGACAGTGGTGATCTTTCCAAAATGTTGGTGGAGACAAAAAAAATGTATAACCTTTGGTGTATTTGCTTGTGAAGTTAGCTTTGATCTTACCGATTGCGACTGCAACTAAGGAGCCAGCTTATTCTGCAATGAAGATTGTGAAAAATCGTATGCATAGCCATACTAAGAATAAATGGATGAATGTTTGTCTTGTTACATGCAACATTCTAACATATACAGAAAGAGATGTGTTTGATAGTTTTGACACTGAAAGTCTCATGCAACACTTTCAAGAATTTTGTTGTAAAGCAATTGTGGAAGTATACATCAATATGTCCTTAATATTTTGTTGTAAAGCAAATTGTTGTATGCTTTTTATGTCTTTTGATATATACATTTAAAGGACAATCTTTTATCAACTACTTAAGGCATCAAGAATTTGTTTTATGAATTTGATCTTGATATATATTTATTTCTGTTACACAATAAATATGTTAGAATATAATTGCAACATCAGATTTTGTTTAAACTAGCAAGTATCCATTTTTTATTTCATTAGTGAAAATAAATTATTAATGAAAATACTCATTTTTGTTTATCTATCACATTGCCGACAAAACATGATGCAATATAGCCGATAAAGTGTATTGAGTGCATTTCCATTAGGTACTATATTTTAATAATTTATATTTTTATTGTCAGATAAATAGGTACTTGTCATTAATTTTCTGGATCCGCCACTGAAAGAACCCCTGTCGGCACTTATGGATTATTAAGCCATGTGAAGAGATGGTGTACTTTCAAGAGGTGTTTCATGCATTTTTTAAGGCGGTAGGGAGTGGAGTTAGTCTGGGATTTGGATAGTAATACTTTAGTTAAGCATTCTTCACAGTAAGAATAATGGTAAAGGGAATTATTAGATACTTACTCTGTGGATGTGCGTAGTAATTCGTACACCATGTCTGTCTGTATAAAAAGGTCAAAGTAGGCATTACTGTAATTCTAGGAAAAGCATGTTCTAATTTAGTAATTGACGTGTAAAACGTGGTTTACCTGTAAAACATTAGGTAAGTTGAGGCGTTGAGCAAGTTGAGTAGCAATTGTTGACTTACCAGCACATGCAGTTCCACATACCAAAATAACCAGTGGCACTCTTTGGTGATGAAATCTAATTAGTATTAAACGAAACAACCATTAGAACAAGTTGGATATTGGACAACATTGAAATCTTCCTTTCTTAAATGAATATATGCATAAACATTCATATGAAAAGACAAAACTATTTTAATATTGATTGAAGCAATTTAAGGAAATATTGACTAAAACAATTTGATAATTTTTATATCAATTAAGCTTTCAATGAGCTGGAGCAAAGCCGAGAGCTTCTAAAGCCCATCTCTAATCAAGAGCCTTGAGAAGCAAAGGAACGATTTCAAGGAATCATATTGCTATTGTATTTGATAGTTTGTTACCATTCTTGGACTCATATTGCTCGTACATCACATTTTATGAACCCCAAACAAGTTCATATACAATTGTTCTTCTTCATATCCTCGTCCTTTTCTCGTATTAAAGTTTAATCCCTTCAAGAGATACTGTACGTCAAAGTACCTTTTGTCTAAATCCTAACAATTTTCCCATGCACCTTTCGTAGTTTATTCCTTTCCTTCCTCCTTTTTCCTTTTCTCAGTACTGTACCAATTTGTAGAAATTCTTCAAAGCAGTGAATTACAGTTTTTTTATGTCCGAGAATTTAACCTTCAATCCATAATTTTTATGTGCATGGTGCATTAATCATTTAAGCAAGCACCAGAAAGATGAGAGAAACATAATGATCTGTCAAGGCCATTGCACTGTCATAGGGAAAAGGGTACAACCAACATTATCTATTGCTAAAAGATTGCATCCAAACACTTAAGGGAGGGAGGGAGGGAGGGAGAGGAAAAGAGGTCACCTGGTCATCATTTTATAACGATTTATGTATTCTTCTCCATAGCCTCGTCTCTCCATAAGCTGCAAGAGGAGTCTGCAAATAAGTATGTAATAAAATAATGCTAACTATCTTATAATTATCAATTCATTGACATAACGACGACCACTTTATAGCTTGATGCATATTTTGACTGATCTCATCTTTTTTGCAACATTTTAATCTTAACCACTAGGATTTGATCAACCACTACAATATCTGATTTGGATCAAATTCTTTGTGCCCAGGAATCTAGCAAAATTTCCAAGAAATTACCACCCAAGCAAGAGTTTATCAATAGAACTCCTAAACAATGATGGGTCATGGCTTGGATTGACCCATAAAGTTTGCCCCACATATATGGGATAAAGATTGTCTGTTAAGAAGGTTACGGTTAAATGCAGCAAAATATTCAGATCAATTAACAGCATTTTAAATCCCATGGTCAATTTTAACTGGAAATGTCAATATTCTCTTGGTGTTAACTGAGGTAAAGCAACGTTCTTGTCTACCAACAAATAGGCTATCTAGGTCTTATAGCAAGCTGTTCTATTGATGATTGCATGCATCAACACATTAAAGGCAAGACCAACTAACCAGTTGTTTATAGACATCTAATCATCCTAGAGCATTCCCAATTTGAAGTGGCATTCCATGGTTAAACTAATTTGGTGGAGAAAAGGTGGAGAACAACATCAATGATGAAAACAATAATTCTGAAACATTAGAAGGTGTTCGCTGCAGATCATTATTATGGTACCTAGAAGAAATGAAAAGATTACGAGATTATTTCCAAATTTCCAAAGTCATTAGACTAATTGGTCAGAAGCAGATGGTAGTCCTGTATTCCCAGATGCAAACATTGTTTGCTTACATACTCAGGAGTAAGATATAAAAAAGATTACTTATTGGTGAAGGTGCTGAACTGCTAATATCTGTCTGAATTCTTAAGACATTCTTATATAAGTAAAGAGAAGACACATAAAATTTCTTCAAAGAATAATAAGTAAGAAAGGATATAAAATATTTGTGTTGCAACAAATACGTAAGGTTTCCTGGTTTTCACGAAACAGTATAACCGACAGGCGACAGTAAATGTGTAAGAAAAGATGCCAGTTGACATTTTAGTTTATTTGCATTTCTCATCCTCCCTCCACTCTCAGGCCCCTAACTTTATCTAAAGTTGAAAGCAATAACCTATGACAAGTCAATCGTCTTTTCCCTTATTCCAGACTTCATGTAATATAATAAAAATGCAAAAGCTTAAGCTGCATGACTAGTAAATGTAGGTTTCTATACCCAATAACAAATCTGCAAACATGGAAAGCTCCTATTGCTCATTATTTCCCAGGCTAAGCATCCAACATCGAGTAGAGGTTGATGTCAAGTTGGCAGCAGGTCATAAAATTTGTCTAGTCTTGCAGGGGGACTTGTTCTGCATAACCATCCCTATTCTTACTCCTACCAGAAGATACAGATGGTCATCATATCCACCCACAAAGACCCACTACCGCCATCCACCCAACACCCACCACCCCAAAGAAAAAGGAAAAAAAGGAAAGAAAGAAGAAGTCAACTTAAGCTGGCTGGAAACACACATGCACAGGAGAGTAGACAACCTAAGTTTTTGGAAGAGACATACAAGAAGACGTATCTGCACAAATAGGCAATAGATAGGTAAAGTTAAATATTAACAATTAGGAAGAACCAACAGCCTGACGAAAAAGTTGGAATACAGTTTCTTTTCAGAACTTATTTTTGGTAGTAACATACCTTAAACAGATTAGCTTCCAAGTCAGCCTGTGAACTGCCAAAAAGATAAAAGAACACTATAGTTAATCACTTCATTATCAGCAAGGAATATATTCATACAGTTGAAACTAGATTACAACAACTCAACAGAGAGGAGAAACAAGGAGGTTGGAGAAGTGATAAGATATATTCCATTTAAGTTATTCTACAGGCAAGCTCCTACGCTGCATTAGATACAAAAATCTCCATGACGAGAAGCTTCAACTAGACAAGCCTCAAACTCACTTTTAAGAAGCCTATCTGAAACTATACAATTATCTGATTTTTTTCACAGTTCATCCGTTTTTACCATAAAGCGGGAATGAGAAAATTCCATAAGATGTTGATGAATCTGTGAGCATATGGGCACATCGACATAACATTAACAAAATGCTATAACATATATGAAACATATATCTTCGCTTAAGTGAAGATATCGCTGAGAATACAATCTAAATGGGAGTACGATACAGTACTATGAGGTAAGAGGTCATATGACATCGCAATTCAAGCAACAAGGAAAAGGGTGAGTTGAGTGCAGATAACATACACATCGAGCAGGCTGTTGTCTATAAGCAGCTTCTTCAGTTCCAATGCAATTTTGATCGCAACGTGATTCGGAATCTAAAATAACCAGTTCAAGGGCAGTTGGTCAATGAGCACACGAATGCATCTTTCTTTAGAAAACAAATTTAAAAAATAAAAATAAAAAAAGAGCATGATACCTTTGTAACAGTGAGCATCCTGCTGAGGAGAAACCTAGAAAGGACATAGTAATGATCCGCATTGTCCCCGAGCCAAACCTTGACCTAAATCGAAACCCCTGGTGATGATCTCACTGACCCTAACGAAATAAATAAATGGAAGCATAAATCAAAAATAAAGGAAATCACTGACCTTAACGAAATCGTATTTGGAGGAGGCGTTTCGGCTGGAGGATCGTTGGATTGAAGAGGAGGAAGAGGAGGAGGAAGAATCGGCCTTTTTCTTGTTCTCGTCGGATTCCTTGCCTTTGCCCGCGTGATCGCTGACGATGATTTCACTGTCGGTGATCGCCGTCATCGCAACAGCCGTTAGGTTCGGTGATTGAGTTGGGATGATGAAGAATTCCGAGTTCGCAACGAAAATTTTCGAGTTTTCTGGAGATTTAATCGGTAAAATTTTGGGTTTTCCCCCTCGGAGGTTGAGGAAATAATTAATGGAAAAATTCTGAAAATATACCACATCTGCTAAATATTTGGCAAAATCGACCATTTTGCTAAATATTTAGTAAAATCGACCTCTTTTTGGCCTGTTGGCCAAAAAGATGTCGATTTTGAAAACATACGGGACTACTAGTCCCGTATGTTTTCAACACAGTAATTACAGATTAGAAAATATACGGGACTACTAGTCCCGTATGTTTTCTGTCATGGTTTTGGTGGCTCACGAAAGTGTACGGGACTACTAGTCTCGTACATTTGGCAGAGCCAATTTCCCTTGCAACTAAATATACGGGACTAGTAGTCCCGCACAATTTACAGAGGTAATTTGCCTCGGCCATCAAATATACGGGACTACTAGTCCCGTATATTTTGCAGAGGCAACTTGCCTCTGCCCAGCAAACATACGGGACTAGTAGTCCCGTATCTAGTCCCGTATATTTTGCAGAGGCAACTTGCCTCTGCCCAGCAAACATACGGGACTAGTAGTCCCGTATATTTTGCAGAGGCAATTTGCCTCTGCCCAGCAAACATACGGGACTAGTAGTCCCGTATTTTTACTGGGCTGAGGCAAAACATGCACAAAACATGCATGACCCTCTAGCTGAACATACAACCAAAATTTTCGCCACAATATATCATCTAACATTGTATACATTGATAAAAGTTATAAAATTAGAACATTATAACACAAATCTAAAAAATACGCATTATCACAACACAATACATCATCATAACATCACATCCAAAATTCTACCAAAATTCACATCAGCACAAAACAATTCCAACTGCATTAAGTCTAACCATACGATAATATGTAGCTTAAGTAGAATAAATCCAAATGCATCAATAATTCCATACGACAATAATCTACATGGAAAAACTAACAAAGGAAAAATCCACCCCTCCCCCGTTGTCTCGGCCTTCGCACCCGCTGAGATCGTCGGCGGCCCCCTTCGTCTTGAGCTTGTATATGCTCGCTCTCCGGTTGTGTGTGGGGCTATGACGGACCAGCTTGTTGTGACGGACCAGCTTGTTGTGACGGGCCAGCTTCATCGTCGTGCGTGCAAGATCTATCACGTCTACGGTGGCGCACATATGTAGTATCTTCAAGATCCACCTGCTCACGACCTTCATGTCGATCCTCATGAGTTTGTTGAAAAGCTCTACGAACTCTCGCCACTATCCGCTGTAATATCGATACGTCCACAGAATCTCCTATGGCGGTAGTTATACCCTCATTTGCAATCCCCCACTACATCGTCCAATGCGTCTATCTACAATTACATAAAAATATTGCTTCATATAATAAACCAAAAGCTAACATAAAGATTGAAAAATCTATTATAATCTAAAGCAATTTACTTACCCATCGCCTCTCATCTAACCCTCTTGGTACATATCGAGATTGTTGGTTGCGAATCTCGATTTCGTCGACTGGAGGCGCAGTTTGGGTGATTATCCAACGTCGGGTAACCCCCCAATACCATCTTATGTAATCGACTTCCTGCATCGGAGGATAAAGCGGATCGACAATAAGTTGATGCCGATCATTCCACCGAGCTATTTATGATTGATGCGTGCGCTGCCAGTTAATCTGATGTCCACCTTTAGACGTCTTTCACTCTATTTTCTCGACCAATTGTGGAGCGTGCTGTGTGAGTCCAAACTGTCTAAACACGCGATCGAGTACGTGCATCTCCACAATTTCGATACAAATGAGAGGAACTCTGGACCGCCATATGTCGTGTCCCTCCATACAAATCAGCGGTAGACGATGTAGGTAAGGTGCGTATGGCTGACACTTGAACTGTAAAATAATACATATATTAACTGTTGTTTGAAATATATCGATAGCTTTAAACGATTGCAATTCAAATTCATACCTGAAAAATTTTCATTCGGTCAAGCTCCCCCCTGTAAACGTCTAACTGTCTAGCCAGGACCTCATTATAGGCTTTAGTGACATTCCATCTGTAAGTTTTATATACGATAGATTTTTGTTCAAAAGTTTAAATGAAAAATAAAATATCAAACGAGATTAAATTCGAGGAATTTTACCTGCAGCCTAGTGGAATCTGTCCATCCAACTCTCGGATCTCGCATAATCGCGGTTTCAAATTCAGTCTTTCCCATGCCCAAACTTGTAACAATGTCAAACAACCTTTGAGCTCTTTATTTTGCATTAAAGCAACCTTTGACATTTCTCGATATAGATATGCTAAAACAGCACTACCCCAGGATAATGTCCCACACACGTCAAAGTCTTCGAGAAGTGGTAACCACCTATTGAAAAATGTGGAAGTTAGTCAGATTTTCTAAAAATAGTGAGAAAAAATATCTTCTTATCAAAGTATAAAAGTAATAACAATTTATGACCCGTCTTACCTCAAATGCACTTTATGTTTACTTGAATCGGGAAAAAGAAGCGTCCCGATCATGTGCAAAATATATGCTCTAGCATGTTGTTGGATCATGACTTCCGATGCATCATGTAGCAATGGGTTAGCAAAATTCTCTTTTAGCTAATATACCCTCCAGGCAAGGACTCCAGTGATAGTCCTAACAAATTATCACATACATTCCGCCAAACATGCCTATCTGTCCCTGTGACACAAGGACCATCAATGCGGAGTCCTAGGATCACTGCTACATCCTGAAGAGTAATAGTTGCCTCCCCAACACGTAGATGAAAAGTGTTAGTCTCGGGCCTCCATCTATCCATTAACGCATTAAGCAGTGCCCAGTCGAGTTTCATCCATCACAATTATGAGCAAATCAGAAAACCGGCTTGGGATATTAGGGCAATGATGCGAGGATCATCAAGCAGCCAACGCATATGCCCAATGCTATGATCAATCATAACCAGCTCTTGCCCTCTCTACACAAAAATATAAAAAAATATTAGAATATCACAATAATAAATAATGTGAGTCTAAACTAAATCAATCAAAACATAGAGCCATAGTACCTCTGTAAATGATATACTCTCTGAACGATGGCGTGGCTGATCATAGAGGACTTCATCAGAAACCGGCCCGGGGAGCATCGCGTATATACCTGAACGATGTCAAGATTACCTTATTAGTTTCTACCAAATGTATAAGGCCACAATAATAAAATTAACAATGTAAATAGAAAATATATTACCAATTAATTGCTATAAACTTGTTCTTGATGGACAACGAGACCTATTATGCCCTAATTGACTACATGTTCCACATCTGATTCGTGATGCTCCTCCTTCCCGGCCTTGATCCATAGTACCTCTGATGCGCACAGATCGAGGTCGTCACGCTTGTCTTTTGACTTGAGGTGGTAATAAACATTCCATATAAGCGGCAGGCCAATATCGCGTATCATCGGGAGGATGAAAACTCTCTTTGTAAGCCTTCCGATAATGATTTGTTGAATACCAAACTGAGCAATACCGATCATACGGCAATCTAGCCCTACCATCCTGACTGGAACTAGCTGCTAAAACATGTTCACATGGAAGTTTTTGTAATTGTGGTAGGTGTAACAACCGTAATTTTTGATACGTATTTAAATAAATTTTACTAGTATTTAAAATATTAAACTTTATTTTATTAATATTTTCCTCAATTTCTGGAACTTTCTGAGTTTTCAAAATAAATAAATAATAAAATATATAGTCTTGTATTTTTAATTCTACTAAATATTAATTTACGGTTTAGTAATTTTTTTTATATATAATCATTTGATGACTAATATTATTAATAACCTTGTATGTTTTATGTAAACTTGAGCATAGTATAGTAGTATATAAATATTAATAAAAAGGATTTTTGGTGATTATTAATTATTAAAATAATTCAGAATATTAGTTGAGATTTTCGAATTTTTCCCTCTCTTATTTTCTCCTATTTAATTCGTTCTATTTTTCCTAATTTATTCTCAATCATTCCTAATCTATTTACACATTCTTTATACGTATTCTCTCCCTTTTTTTTTCATTCCGTACTCAGCATCACTCCTCTGTGATTGCTTCATCCATTATGTGTTTCTTATTTTTTTATTTTATATATCTCTCGTTCCACTCCACACATCCCACTACGGAGCACCCACGTTCTTCCTCTTTTTCTCAACTAACTTTCTCTCTTCACGCATTATCCTCTTTTTTCTCTTGGACAAGACTCTGCTTCTCGAGCACGCGTCGAAGCCTGGCCAGCCGCGCTCCTCTCTTGACGACGTCCACGCCCTCTCACGTATTCACCGCGGACCTCCTCGAGCTCCGCTCCCTAGTCTGACGCCGCCCTCACGCTCGAGCATGGTGCCTTCAGATCGCCGCCGCCTTCTCCTCTCCAGCCTCCACCAAGCAGCCGTCTAGACGAACAACTCCCTCGCCTATCTCTCCCTCAGCCGCTCTCCCACGCGTCTGAGCGCTCCCCAGCCTGCCAATCCTCTCTTCAATCCAGAACCAGCGTTCTCCTGAGCCCGTCGTCGTCGCCGGCGAACTCCAGCGCCGCCCCCACTTCACCACTGCAGCGAGCCACGCCCCAACCCCGTAGCCCTCTCAGATCCGAACCCACCTCGTCGTTGCCTACGCCGACCTGAGCTCGCCGCCTGGCCTTCGCCGTCAGTCGTCGATCCGTTTGACGAACCCCGAGGCAAGATCCCTCTTGCCCGTTGTCTTATTAATTTATATTTTTATCTCAATTATGAATTTATTACGTATATGTGTAGATTAGTTTGTGTTGATATGATTTTAATTGTGTGGTTGTTGATAATTTTGCAGTGAATATATTCTGTGAAACGATGAATAGGTATGTCAAAAATATAGTTTATGGTTAATTTCGTGTTGTTGAAAAGAAGAATATATTTATAGAGTATTTTTAGATTTATTTATAATGAGGAAAATATTTTAAAAGGAATTATTTCGAGAGAATAATTTATTTTGGATAAGGAGTATTTTTGAATAATTGTTATGATTAAAAGAATATTATTTTAAGAAAAAGAGTATTTTAGATTATTTATAAA